CCGACGTGAGCGTCACCCGGAAGTGACGCGACCACTCCAGGCACGCTGGGGGCGGGGCCACGGTCATCCGAGGGAAAACTCTATGGTTTTCCCTCGGATGGTCATGGCCCTGCCCCCAGCGTGCCTGGCATCATCACGTCACTTCCGGTTTTGCAGCAGGACTCTTCTGTAAAACAACTACTGTACCTTATTGGTTTTGCCATGTTTTATGAGTTTTGCCATACGTGTACGCATGCGCATGCCTCTGTTTTGGGTCTCTTTGTCCTTTTTATCATTGCAATCCTGAAACTGTGCAGAAAAAAAAGGAACACTTTTTTCCCCTATCAGTTTTTTCCCCCATTCCCATTCCTTCTACATTCTTCCTCAGGCCTACTGATACCATTCTCGGAAAGTATAAGAAATATGTCCTGCACTTCAGAAAAAAAGAACATCTAAGATTGGGCTAGCGTTTCCTTTTAGCAGGCAGCTCTTTTTGTTTGCTGTTCGGGAAGAGCTAAAACTTCTGTTTGTATTCAGACATCACAGATCAGCCACAATTCGTGCATGAGATAGGGCTGGGATCCTTGGCCTTGCACGCGCCTTCCCTTCTCCCATCTTGCTTCACCCCCACACATCACACAGACATTGCACACTTCCTATCTTAGAAAGCCTTCAATCTACCCACAGCTGAATCTGATATCTGTATCCAGGTGCTTTAAATTTATGAGGACTGGTTTCCTGCCAACAAGCCAGAATTCCAAACCAGAATTATACCATTACCAAGAATGCTAGTTTGTGAACACAAAGCAAATAAAAATGCTGGAGTTTGCAACACTGGGAAGGGGAGAGGGGAAAAGAGAAAGTATGGTCTTACACAGAAACAAGGGGATACAAGCAAGCCATGAGTGGTGCATACCTTCTTTCCTCTTGTGCACCGATTCTCCCCAAAACCCTGCTATCCAGCAGTAGCAGAATCATACTTCAAAACACATTTTGAGAACCCAGATACAGTCAAGAGCTTCGCGGAGAATTTAAGAGTGTGAAGAATGGGGTTACACTGAAATGGGGTAAACAGGATGGCGAGAATTTATAAGAACATAAGAGATGCCAATGTTGGATCAGGCCAAAGGCCCATCCAGTCCAACACTCTGTGTTACACAGTGGCCAAAAATACCAGGTGCCATGTGGCAGTGAATTCCATGTGTTAATTTATGTATCAG